TGGGATGCTTGTTCATGTCCTGGTATTTGTGGGACAAGAGGTCACAGACACATCAGATGACACAGGAATCACATGCAGGCAGTGCCCAATGACAGGGCAGGGCTGCTCAGAGTTTTGGCTGCTGAGCCCCTCATGGTCCCCCACCACCTACGTACTCAGATGTTCTCCTGCACACACAGAGTTCCCCAACACTTTTCCAACAGACAGTGCTAAGCAGTGCTGCCATGTTTCTTCTTTTCTCTTCATCAGGAAGCAACAACCAAACTGTAACAACGCCTGCCCCATCAATGAATACCACCGCAAATACAGGTAAGGAGCATCCTCTTCAGGTGGCCCCTTCTTGGGACAGATTGGAGTAAGAGAATCTCAGGGAGCTCTGCAGTGCCCCCAGAGAGGGATGAGTGATTGTGCCCAGCTTTCCCTGAGATGCTCTCCCAGGGGAGACAAAGGTGCCCAGATCAAGGCTGTGAATATGGCGGCTGCTGTTTTCCTGCTGCTGCTTTTGCCTCCTGCAGCAGGCCTGGGTGCAAGAGGATCCCTTCAAAGACATGCCCAGGACAGCCCCTGTTGGCACCCTGAAGGGAGTTGTGCCTGAAGTTGGTTGGAGCACAGGCAGAGACATAGCTGGGACATACCACTCAGCAGCACGGGGCTGAGGCCAAGGACTGTGTTTGGGCACCAGGGAGCAGTCCCTCCCTGTTATCCTCCATCCTGGCCAAGCTGCCTGTCTAATGTGTTGCTGCAGAGCCACAGCTCTTCCTGCATGGGGGGCTTGTAGGATTGCATCCTTCCTGCCAGGCTCCCATTTTCCCATCATGATTGTCCAGCTTAGTCAATGACCCTGTTCCTCCAACTTTTGGGGGAATGATGCTGGGGAGAAGTTGGCCACGATGGGGAGTGGAGGTTGTGCAGGCTGTATGAGCCTGATGGCCCCGCTTGAGCTCTTTTGAGAGATGCTTCTGGCCCTGTGCTGCTTCCTTGGGCAGGTGGAGGGAGCATTCCTGCCAGGGAGAACACAGGTGTCTGTGGCTGAGACAGTGTTGTCTTGGGAGCAGAGCTAAGCTGGGGGCAGTGCAGTGTCTGTGTGGGGCACTAGTTCATGTCCTGGCATCTGTGGGACAAGGGGTCACAGACACATCAGATGACACAGGCATCACATGCAAGCAGTGCCCAAGGCAGGGCAAAGCTGCTCAGGGCTTTGGCTGGTGAGCCCCTCATGGTTCCCCACCACCTGCGTGCTCAGAGGTTGTCCTGCACACACAGAGTTCCACAAGGCTTTTCCAACAGACAATGCTAAGCAGTGCTGCCATGTTTCTTCTGTTCTCTTCATCAGGGAGCAACAACCAAACTGTAACAACGCCTGCCCCATCAATGAATACCACCTCAAATAACACAGGTAAAGAGCAATCTCTTCAGGTGGCCCCTTCTGGGGACGCATTGGAGTAAGAGAATCCCAGGGAGCTCTGCAGTGCCCCCAGAGAGGGATGAGAAACCTATGCCCAGGTTTCCCTGACATCCTCTCCTGGGGGAGATAAAGGTACCCAGATTAAGGCTGTCAATCTGGAGGGTCCTGTTTTCCTGCTGCTGCTTTTGCCTCCTGCAGCAGGCCTAGGTGCAAGAAAATCCTTGCAAAGACATGCCCAGGGCAGGCCCTGCTGGCACCCTGAAGGAAGTTGTGCCTGAGGTTGGTTGGAACATGGGTAGGGAGGGAGCTGGGCCACACAGTAGCATGGGACTGAGGCCAAGGACTGTGTTTGGGTATCAGGGAGCAGTCCCTCCCTATCATTCTCTATCCTGGCCAAGCTGCCTGTCCCAGTGTGGTGCTGAGGAGCCCCATTCTGGTGGGTTGAAGCTCCTGCTGGGATCAGGATCAGATACTGCCCAGTCCCTCAGCTCTTCCTGCATG